GAAGCTAATTTCAAGACACTCAGCATTCTCAGCCCACCAAATTTTATGGTCGATAAGCAAGCCCGTGGAAGTACAAAAGCACTCTGCTCGTCCCGTTCTCCTCTTTTTCGATCACACCCAGCTGAACAAATAAAAATTTGTCGATGATATCACTCGCTTACATCAGTTTTCAAGCAGATTCAAAACGTAGAAAATGAATACTAATTTTGAAGATCGTGAAATTGTAAGAGCAGGGAACGACTTATCACTATTCTTACCTTTTTTTCAGTAATTAATTGAACCTGTACACTGATCCGAGGAATTATTCGAGCAATCTCGAAAGAATTTGTAGGAAAAGAACTAAATCTTGGAAATGCGCGTATTTTATAGAAGTTTTCCAAATAATTTACTCAGTACAAATGATGCAGTGTGATCAGTAGGATTATCGGCATATGAAACAACAGATCCTCCAGAAAAAACAGGATATATTTCTGTTTTACAAATACATTAGAAGTTCTGGTGGATCAGTGATGCTAGTACAGGCAATAAGTTCAACTGAAGTTATGTAGCTCAGTACTCAAGATTCGACTTATGTTAAGGGCAAAGAATGTGTGTGAGAAATTCTGGCAACAGGAAGTGTTCTTTTGGAGTATTAGTAAACAGCAGCAGTTGTAAGTAGGCAAACCTCGAACTTGCACAATGAAAAACCCCGGCAGTGATAGTCTAGGGCCTCCTCAGCTGTTTTATTAACCGGTTTTATTTTTATATATGTTATTTACAATTACCTGTGCATTATTTATCTGCTGACAGCCCTTATTTGTAAGGATTGTCGACTGTGGGCGGATTACGTCAGTTTGTGTGCTGCACAATAACACCTCATCACACGTCAGTTTACCGTCCCCACAGTAAAATTTTCTCATTTTGTGGAGCACACTACCTAATGGCTATAGGTTACTGAGTGCATAAAATACAGGCCAGAATGACGGGCTATTCTTTTTTTTTGCTCCCAGAAGAGATTTCTCGTTGTTGGAGAGAATTTTTCTTTTTTGTTTCTTCTGATTTTCAAAATAGTCCCGGTTAGATTCGTGGGTGTATATTTTTGCCTCCTCAGAGTGAAGAGAATAAATGGGAAATTGAGGTTTGTGCACTTGTAATAACCCTAAAAGGACAAAAAAAAGCTTAGGTTAGCTATTTATCAAAAGTCGAGGATATGAATGAGAAATTTATTTCTGTTCTTAGCAGTTCTTCACGTTTTTCTACGTAGGAGTTGAATTTGAAATCGCTGAATCGCACCCAGACTAGGAATACTATCTTTAAATTTAAGTTCCCAAGCTTTTCTGATTCCGAGTTGAAAATTTCCTGCCAAAACTTTCACATATCCGTACATGAGTAAGTGAGTCGTGCTTTTGTTGTGCTATGAAGACAGTAACTAATCGCCGAAAGATTCCGGCAAACGACCGAACTCATATGATGAATGTGTAAATACATGAATTTATGCATGTTATTTCTCATCACTATGAATATCTGCTTGTGGCTGTGGTAGTTTTGCGGCGGCGCTCAAAGCTCGAGCCTCCAGAAGAAGCGGCCACTGCGGCTAAACAAACAGCTTGAGATTGCTAGCACACACTCGCCGAGCTACCTCCTCTTCACACCATTGTGCTTCCCACTTTCAATGACTGCCGTGACAGCCGACGACGATTCCTGCGATCAGGCACTGCGAAAGCTACGAGAACGCCTCAAAAAGGCTAGCTCATTTTGTTATTTCAATTTTTCAGTATTTTTGTTTGCACAGTTGTTCGGCCTTTACTGCATTACCAATGGATAGTCAGGCTGGCACTGATTTATATCATCCAAGCTTAGCCAAACAAAACGCATCTCTTCGCGACCATATAAACAGTCAGATGATCCACCAGACGAGCGGCGTGCAGGATGTCACTGTTACATCCACCAGAACTAAAATCCGTTGCACAGGGCATGTTGCTTGCCTTGCCTACATCCGGTGGACGTCAAGTATTAATGAGTATTATCCTCTAGAAAATAAATAGCCATGCGGCAGACGAAAAGAGATATTACATGTACATCGAAAAGGCGATGATTGCTAACCGAAGGAATTCAGACCAGGATCTAAGAGCTCGGCACAGCTACGCTGGGCCTATGCGAGTATTTCAACAACAGCATTGATAATAGAATGCCTACACCGGTACCCCGCGGTCTTGTTAGTATTTTAAACTTAGATTCAAGGATTGCTGGATTGGCAATTGACTCTACTCTCAGGTTACAGTCATTGTGATTCATATCCACCAGTAGAAGAACCAGTGCCTCTTAAAACTCGTTCATTCATTTCAGTTGTAACTGATACTTGCACTTGCCAAAAAATCGAGGTGTAACAAGTAGTTTGCTTTCGAAGCAACCGTTGGAAGAGGAAAAAATCGCTTTTGCCGGTTCTTTGTCCTTCGAAGCAACTGGCAGCCTCTTCCGCAAACCTCTTTCACTGATTCAAGGCGTTTTTCCGTATCTCCTTGTAGGTAGTGAAATTTGAAAGGTAGTCATCCTGACTTTCATCTGGCGTTTCTAGTGAAGAGTACTTAACTTTAAATCCAACTAAAATGCAGGTGTAGTTATACTTTACTGGAAGAAAAGGAAGAATTTGTTGTTTCTGGAGGAGAAACCGTATGCTGAAAGAAAAGAGTGATTTGAAGTTTCGGGAGGGAATGCCGCGGAAATCCCCTGTTAGTTCGTTTTCACAAAGTTGGAGCGAGCGAGGAGTCTGACAGTGTTTGTTCTTTGTAAGTAGCAATCTAACAAATTTCTTGTTGAAAGGATAAAGACGCTGTTGGTCTTATTCTCATTTGCCCGGTTGATGGCTGGATTATTTCAAAAATCAGACTCCTTCCTTTCATGCCCCCTCCCCAACGCTCAGCAAACCCTCGAGTTTAAAAGAAATTTAAATCCAGTTTACGAATGAAACGAAAGTGGCGCGTAATGATCTAAATCGTGTGTTC